CTAACCAAGTAAGGTTCGATTTCACGGTGTATATGTCGCAGCCAACTGGTTAAAATAGCCGTTCAATCAAACAGCTAGCCCTTTGACTGAACAACGCCATTCAATCACACGGCTATACGTCGTTTAGCCGACTTGTTGACTGCAACGTTCAACACTACAGCTAGCCAACTGGTTAATATAAACAGTTTCTTTTCTGTTAACAGTTTTTTTTCTGGCGCTTCGCTGGCCTCTGTCGCGGCATGGTCACAACACTAACCTAACCTAGCCCCATCCCACTATCCCCCGTAATCCCGTAAGTGCTCCCATAATTTCTGTCTCATTAATAACACTAGTAACGTATATTTAACACTTTCTTTCCGAAAAATATCTTGAAACAATCACATGGTTTGTAGAAAACAATAATAAATTATCAGAAACGCAGTTTGGCTTTCAGAAAGGACTGAGCACCATGGATAGTCTGGGTACGTTTGTGACAGATATCCGTGTTGCTTTGTCCAAACGAAGGTCAGTAGTGGGTGTGATAATTTATCGGATGCCTCCAGTCGACTGAATTCAGCTATTTACTACCTAAATATAATTGGCTATCTGACCATGACTTATCACTTTCCATTCCTAAGAGGAGTGTTGTGGTTTTCTCAAGAGCTCTGTCTATCCCCCATATTAATATCTCTTGTGAAGGACAGGTCTTCCCGAACCATGATAAGGTAAAATTCCTGGGGTCCTCCATATTAACCACATTGTCAAAAAATGTGAACGAAACTTAAATTTCATTAGAGCACTCTCGGATATGGTGGGGAGCCCACCCAAGCGATTATGGATCTTTCCTACTTGAACACTGTAGTAAAATAGCTCTAATAAGCTCGACAAAGGACATTGTTCTGCGTCCATACATAGTTAGCCTAAGAACCAACAAAAATGACTATAAAAACAAAGATTATTGACGGACACTTTTGAGAACTTAAATTATTGGGAAAACTAAAATTTTTTTGAGGTTATGTTTAATATTCAATGAAACATAGCTCAACCTATGAACTTAGTGAATTAATATTACAACTAATTCATTTTATTCGGTGCGATTTATTACAACTAATTCATTTTATTCGGTGCGATTTTAAAGAATAACTATTAGGAGAAACTTGGTTAGGTAGGAATCATGAATAAAATAAAAAGTCGGTTTTACGGGCGAAGATTTTACGTGACAACGTCTTTTTCTCGGTAGAATATTTATTGATATGAATATAATTAAATTGCACAATAGGAACAAGGAATTGAATGAAAATAAGAATTGCACAAATTTTAACTATAGAAATATATTTTGTTTACTAAAACATTGTACATGTAAACTTAAACTTAACACGAGAGACTCATCGTAACGTTACCGAGCGTTACACTTTTTCATAAGTGACTCCCAGCCGCAACCTAATTTAAGACGTTGTCACGTCAAAACTGTAGTTTTGCTTCTTATTATTTATTGACTATTGTTCACATAATTGTATCATATTGTATATTGTATTTATTTATTTAACACATGTATATTGTGTAAATATGCAGCGTGAATGTGTATCAGGTGATCTTGAATAATTTGGCAGTATGATCCTCTCAGGATATTGTGGCACAGGTTCTCTAGCACTTGATAATAAGGTATCTGTTCTTTGGTAACATCGATGGCATATTAGATAGCCGAAATAGTAATACCTAGTTAAATTAAGGAAAAACAATCGCAAATAAACACACACAACAGGTAATCCGAAACGAGAATGCACTTTCCGGTATTCCGGTATATTATACTACTCTTTGGAATGCACGAATGCCACAGATTACTACGAATGCAAACTGCCTGCACCACAACCACAGAGTACCGAGTTTATGCCGGCCCTTCACTTGACAACATTTTGTCCTTGTCATGCTTAATAAGGAATGAAAAGGACAGACTGATGTCATGTTTTTAAATAGCAAATACGAATAGCCAAGTGAAGTGCCGGCATTAGGAAGAAAAAGTGTTTTGTTTGCAGCGCTGTCATAGATTATACACATAAAATGGTATTTATTGTCTCAGATTATTTATTAACTATTTAATTTAGCTTACTTATCTGGAAGTGTCCGTCACAATCTAAATACTGATAATTATTGCAAAAAATATACTAAGAATTATCATAAATGCCAAATTGGTGTTGGTTCAGAAATCAGAAGTCAGAAATTTTATTGCATTTAATGTGGTAAATAAGGTCTTACATTATTATATGGTGAGACACATGAGTCCTGTTAGGACATAACAATATTGACCTTATAGCTAAAATTAAATTTATATGAACATTATAAGTAGTAGTATATTAACAATTATCAAATAAATATCAAGTCAATTTTAACAATATATAGAATTAAGAATAATAATAAGAATAATAATAAGCATGTCAAGGTATCTTTAATATTTGAAATTATTTAATAGTCCTATAGTATTCACATAATTTATAAAAACATTTATTAACAAGATAATCATTTAAGGTTGTAACAAACTTATCGTATTCGTCTATCTGTCTAATATACTTTGGTAACTCGTTGTACAGTTTAATCGCCATTGAATACGGCGCTGATCCAACTATTGATAGCGTAGTTTTTGGTACTACAAATTTATATCTACTTCTAAGTTGTGTCGATCCAGTATAATTATCTTTACTATTTACAAACATATTTTGGTTCTTTTTTACTAGTTTACATGCTTCCAGGATATATAAAGATGTTACAGTTAGTATTTTATATTTTATGAAAAATGGTCTACAGCTTTCCATTGTTATCTATATTGGCCATGATTCTTATACATTTTTTTTTGTAGCGTAAGTAATTTAGGAGCATCGGAACTGTTTCCCCATATAGGTATGCCATATCGCAACCATGATTGTGCGTATGCGAGATAAGCTATTCTGGCTGTGTGTGTATCAGTTGATCTTTTTAACTCATTTAGTGCATAGATGAATCTGGATAGTTTATTTGATATATATTCAATATGACTTTCCCAGTTAAAATTGCAGTCTATATTAACTCATAATAATTTAAAATTGTTAACATGCTCTATCTTTTCTCCTTGTGTCGTGAAGTTTATTTTAAGAGGTTTCTTTTGATATGGTCGAAATACCAATATTTTAGTTTTTTCAAAATTTATATTAAGGTAATGGTCATTTAGCCAAACTAGTAATTTTGTCAAGATTATGTCTAATTTATGGTTTCTATCGTCAGATACAGAAAATAAAAACGACATATCGTCAGCAAACAATATACTGTCCTCATCAAAAATGCTAGGTAAGTCGTTGATATACAAATGGAATAGCAAGTATCCAATGACGCTACCCTGTGGTATAGACTTCGTCACAGCTGTTTCGTCGGATCGAACATTTTTCATTTGATTACTGTTACAACATTTGTGCTGAATTTCAACACATTGTACCCGGTTCTTAAAATACGAGACAAGCCAGTCGTGTGCTGCGCCCCTTATTCCTAAGTCATATAACTTTTTTAATAATATTTTTGGCAAAACTCTATCTTATGCTTTACTTAAATCTAATAGCAAGGCCAATTTTAACATTGTCCTTTCAATCTAAGTGTCTACGTATCATTTTAGGTGCCATGAAGTCGTCCCTTATTAATGCAATGCAGTTAGAATGCGTCGATCCTCCTTTAGAATTTCGACGGCAGTATATGTCAAACAAATTTATATTTAAAATTTTCGAACGCTCATCGCACCCACTAATTCCTTAACTTCATCAGTTAAACCAACTGATTCCTTCAAGTAGCTACTGGTCTCCCAAAAATCTCCCTTGCCTATTAATTAGTTATAGAAAGCTATTACAGCTACCATCCCCTGTCTATCAATGTAGGCTCAACCCTTTATTTGAAACCGCATATCAAGCTTTAATTTATCAGCCTAACATAATCTTAGACATAGATATTGGCGAAAATCCCCAGCAGAACAAAACATCTTGAATTGCAAACTCGGGTCTCAGTGGCCCGATTGGCTAACTATATATACGGATGCTTCAAAACTAACAGATGATAGTCACATTTTTGAAGCCCTTAAATGTATTCCTTCTCATAGTTTTAATAAAGTAATAATTTAATCAGACTATAAAAGTTGTGTCCAGGCCATAATGAGTACCTGATCAGTTTCGCTCTAAATCAAAATTTCAATTTATACTGTCCATTAAAACTATTCTATATGAATGTTATCGGCAGAGTTTACAAATTATTTTGGCATAGGTCCCTGGTCATACTGGTATAGTGGATTCTAACAATTTTAAATTGTAGATATAGTTTCACTGGTACTCTATCTCTCAGCTTTATTACTTATTGTTTCAGGCAGCTCAACATTTTGTACCTTAACCTTTCCTTTCTGTTTACCCTATTCTTTTTCTCAAATCCTAGGTCCTTGTACTTGCACAAAGCCCTTCCACAGCATAAGCAGAGTCAAAAATAATAAACAAGCCCTCACCGAAGAAACCTAGACAAGGAATTTTGGACACAAACACCAGATATTGGCCAAATCCTGAGGGAGTCATCACTAAAGAAATCTAATCTAATGTAATATTGCTATTTCATGTAACCATGGGTAAGATCTATATATCTTCGACAGCTGATCAGGGACAGGGAGGGTGTGTAGTTTGCTTTTTCCTATGGATAATTGTAAGTTAATACACAAAAAACACTATAAATTAAACGCGAACGCAAAATTACGTGCACGATGGCTGCGACACAAAACGTGTATCAATATAATATCGAGATACCCACAGTGCGAGCGCTTAATTTTTAATTTATTTTTATATATTTTTTATTTTATTATAGGTTAATGTTGCTTTAAAATTGTGTACGATGGTAGCTCATAATGCGTGCTACTTCAATTGAAATAAGTGTAATCTCGAAGGGCGAATCACAGAAGTTTAACATTTCATTTAAACAAACCGGCATTTTAAAAACTTACTTCTGTGTTACAAATATTTATCCCCTAATCATAGGTGTGTACCGTCTACCGCATGTGCTACCGCTACCGCACGCCCTACCGCTTGCGCCCGCGTACAGGCACCGCCCTCTACCCGCCTCCAACAGGTATGTAAATATGTACTATAAGGTAGATGGGCAAAGTATTAAGGCATTTTTTTGTATTTTACTTTGTTTATCACCGTAACAGCGCCAACCTAACCCTCGCTTCATAATTTTAACGAGATACCCTTACAGCTAGGGGACCAAAATCTGAAGCTGTTTATATTTTGCCGAATACCAAAACACAAATGAATTGCTGGCTTGTCGCCGAAGCGCTAGTGTTGCATGCTGTTGTGACGCTTTTTATTTATAAGCGGTGCAACAGCGTCGAACTTAGCTTTTATGAAAGTTTTTTATAATAAAATTATTAAACGTCCTACTAAGTTTTCACCAAGTTTTTAATGATTCACGGACTTATTTTGTATTTTCCTTTATTTTTGATGGTCGTCTCTTCACACAGTACGAATCGATATAAACAAAAAACTTGCTAAAATACAAAATAATAATGTATCCCGCTTTAATTGTTGTTAAAAATAATTGCCAAATGCATAAAACTAAAACACCCGGACTGAGACACACCTCTCAATTTTATTTTGCATTATCAGTCCCCTAACCATAAGCCTAATTTAAGATATTTTATTATATTATTTCTATTTTTATTGGACCCAGTAGTAAAGCGAATCCAGCTGGTCACTTATTTAACACTAACCATTTCAGAAACCATTTTCATTGAGAAACCTTTAAAAAGTTACGCTATTTTCGTGAAGAACAGTCAAACCTAAGATCTAGGTCTGTGAGTCACACAAAACAGAACAGTACAGATGGTGTCTTATCTTAAGTCTTCAAACGTCTTTTTATGGTTCCAAAGTCAACGAGGAACATATCAGTCACTAGGACAAATTAGTAAAATTAAATTTATAAAATAACAAATTCTGAACACTTCCACTATACTTCTACACCATGTGAATGTTGTTGGATAGGAATTTGAAAAATATTTAAGTTGAGTAGACTACATGGAAGATGCACTGCGTGCCCTCGAACAGCTTACTTGGTTGGAGTATCCGATTCTGCCACCGACTACACAGCCCCTAGACGCCTAATATTATATTTTCAGTACTAAATGCATTCTGGCAATTGCCCGAGGAAAGATAAAACAAAGGGACAGCGCCTTTATTGGCTAATAGACGGTCATAATGTAAGTAAGTGATATGATGATGGAACACGGCGTCATTTGGACTTTTTTAGCACTCCGAATGTGTGTCACGAAAGTGGTCGACACTCATTAAATATTTCCATGCGGGATTCACCAGTCAACACGTTTTTTGAGTCTAAGTTCTTTGTACCAGATTTTGATTTCTTATACCTAATTAATGTAAGAAACAATATTTTTATTTAAAAAAGTTTGCATCTGTAGCTATCAGAATAAAATTTTAAATTTCATAGATTTTTTTTTTTTTAGTTGATATTGTATATAACAAGAAAATTATCATTAATATATTTTTAAAAACTCTTTTATTTACTTTAGACAAATAAACCAAGTCGATGAATACAAAAAATATATTGATTTAGTTTTAAAAATTGATATTTTTAACATATTTTTACAATTAATAGTATAGGGACTCGGGTAAAAGAAAATATCGCAGATATGAAACATAGGCGCGAAAATAAGTCTGCAGTGTGTAAACATGCATTAGGGGGAACAAACCATTACATTAGATTTTTGATTTGATACATTAGACCACAGATTCTTGCAACTGAGCAACGATTCGTTCCTAGAATGATACGCGAGGCTATTGAGATTAAAAAATATCCAAATTTCAATAGGGAAGATGGTTGGTATATACCACCAGCTTGGGAACCCATTATACAGGAGATAAAATCCCAACCCCGAGCACACACTGCAAGTCCAACAGATACTATTAGTTCTTTTTGTTTGCATAATTTAACATAAGTTGATAACTTGTTTGTTTCGCCGGTTCTTCTCAGAAAGGTCTCCCAATTTTGGAACCGGTGGTAGTTTACGGTAGTTAGGGTCAAATAAATAAACTCAAAATTACAAAAAAGAATTTTAAATAAAATACTTTATTAAGTAAATTAAATACTAAATTCATACATAGACAATAAAACTTTAAAATTCGAACAATGAAATAACCGAACGCTCAATAAAAGTCTTTCGAAGGTAGCTCGACAAATTAAATAAAAGTTTGATTCTGACGACGTAGCCTGTAAAGGCTACGAAACGTTAATAAATAAATAAAGTTTCGTGCATTAACCCGTAAAAACTAGTTTTATTTAATGAGTGATGTGCGTGAAAACCTAAGAAACAAATATATTTTATAATTTTTAGTCCGAAAATTTTCTGAAGCAAACAAAAATAACTTGGAAATTTTGGATATCGTCATGAGGCGTCCATATTTTATCCTGAAGTCAAATAGGAAGTTAAAATTAAGCTTCATATGTTTAATTAAGTCTTTAACTACAGGTCAAACCATTGTTATGACTCTAAATTTTAAAAAATCTCCGCAAATAAAGCAAGCAGGGTCCACGTAGTTTTCACTCATTTTGGAAGGCATTTACCGCTCTAGGCATTTACAAAATACGTGGTTTCTCCAAAAGGTGTGTACATGCACTGATTGCTCTACTGCTTCCTATTCCATCCCCAATATCCTTCTGCACTCCTTTCTTTTGCTTATTAAAAGCGGTAGATCCTCAGCCTTTTACAAAAGTCATACCTACATATTTATTCATCATTGTATAAAGTACAAAAACAAACTTTTTAAAATAAAAATGAGTTTTCTGGTTATTTTTCGATATAAACAATTAGACAATAAATAACAGACTCAATTTTTTTTTTCATTTTGTTGACTTATTTATCTATTTTATTAGTCAGATGTGTTGTCAGGTATCATTGCCTATCATTAGGCGTCTAGAGGGTATGTAGTCGATTGATTTTGCTGTGCCAATGTGTAATGGCTGTGTTTAATGGCATGCTGAGTTGGCGCTAGGAAGCCCGTGCGTGCTACCCATATGTTTTGTGGCGACGGGCGTATGAGTGTGTGTGTGTGGCGCAGAGGTGGCGATGAGCGGGTGAAAGGGCGGGCGCGGTTCGGCTCCGCGCCTGACCTGCGCCTCGGTCACACGCGCGCCGTGTCTGCGAGTGCGCTGCGTCGTCCGCTGCGGCGGTACGCGCTGTCCGTCGACGAGCCACCACAGTCCGCCGTTAGGTAAACCGTTAGTAACAGCCGTACTCAGAAAAGTCACATTAATTTATTTTTATCTATAGGTACTTCATTAGTTTATTTCTTACATACAAATGAACGTTTATTTAAATGATCATCAAAAAATAGTAACTGATCCTCAAAAATTGGTGTTGTATTTTTAGGTGATTAGGCATTTATATATTTCTCAGTTTTCTTATTGAAGTGACAGCATAAACGTTTTTATTTAAACTTCAAAAATTCAAACTTTACAAGTTATTTGACTTCTCCGAATGCGGCAGTAAAACACTAAACCACTAATCACTCCGTTTGTGCATGCCCATCGCTTATTCTTCCTCAGCTTATAATGCTAAAATTGTATTTTACAACTTAAATTTTTGTACCTGTCCAGTGTTCATGTTTCTACTCACTGTTTACTTACTACTTACACAAACAATAAACAATAGAATTATCAGATATATTCAGGGCCGGATTTAACGCAGGGCAGGCGGGTCTGTACTAAAGCCCCTACAAGGGAGGGTAACCCCCATAACAAGAAAAATAACCAGTGGGTCCAATTCGTAATTGGCGACCCGGCATGCTAGATTTTAAAATACCCCAAGGACTTCCACTTTTTTGTTGCCCCAGCGCCTCCACACCACTTAATTCGGCCCTGGATATATTATGAAGGTTCCATATCTATTGGGTGCCAAAATTGATATTAAACATATTGATATGCTCTACAACCCTGTGAGACAAGATATACATAGATATTGATTAGTCTTGACTTACCTACACTTCTCTACAGTATCCGATGATTTTATATTTTTTCTAAACGGAGATTTCAGATAGAGAGAGATTCACGGAGTGATTCCTATACAGTCGTTTTATATAAATTTTATAGTACGAGTAATAAGTGATTTATTGTAATCAGCGCTAGCGCAGCAGAGTCAGAATGCGGTTCGCAGTCTTCATTGGCACTAGACTTGCACGGCAGCGGCGCGTGCGCAGGCGTCACCCTGCGGGTTCGCGACAACACGCGACGCCGACCCCTGGCGCGCCAGCAACGACTCCTCGATGACACTGTGCAACGTAAGTTATTACTATCCAAATATCTATAAAGAAATCAATATTTTCAACACACACAATTAGCCTAGCCCCAAAGTAAGCAGCACTAAAAGGCTTGTGTTATGGTATCTGTGTAAGTGGCAGATTTCTGCCACGAGTTGAGAAAATTATTTTCATATATTAATTTTTCATATTTTATTTTTTTATTTTTTGCGTTTTATCATATTTAGTAATGGTTTTTAATTTACACATCTAATAAATAAGTTTGTAGAGAAACTATTCAGGTACAGAAACTACTATATTGATTAAAGACATAAAAAAAAGGTAAATTTAAAAAATCAAAAAACCCGACTGCTTAATTATTCTTCAAATAAAAACTGAAAAGAAAAAAACAAGTCCAGTAGTCTATAATTCTGTTAATAAGGAACAAAGCTACTTTAACAGTCGGGACCCATTAGATACTCAAGAATACATAATATTTTTCAACAGTGGGCCCCGACTGTTAAAGTAGCTTTGTTCCTTATTTTGCAGAATTATTACAAAACCAATATTATCGCGAGCTGATTAATAAATAAAGGGATTCCAATAAGTATGTACTTACTAGCGAAAAATGGGTTATTTGTTATTATATTAAGTAAACCTTTTTTGTAACCTTAAGTAATATCGTTAAAAAAAATGAAAAACAGTAAAATTCTGAGTTTTTCATTAAAATTCAATAATCATAAATACCTATTCTGATAATATATTTTTCATCATTTAATTAGAGCTGTAACAAACCGTATGTATTCGGTACTGAGTAACGGGTGCGCCATCTTACTAGATGGCGCACCGAGTAACGAATCGTTACACACAAATAAATTTCGTTACTCGCATTTTTCGTAGTATGACTATCTATATGTTTCACTTTACGCAAGTACAGTTGATGTGTGTATAGAAACATTTGCTGATTGTAGGTTGTAAGCATGCGCGAGCATATTCGGAGAACTTAAAAACGTACGTTGGAGTTTTTGGCGGGATTTCATCGAGTGCGGTTGGCGTCTTATTTTAATTATTTTTAAATTATAATATTAATTTATTATTATTAATATTGTGAAATAAAATTGGTGTGATTTTGTGTTACAACCGTCTGCGTAACTGAAGAATTAGTGGAATCGTTAAAATATACGCTATTCCGGTCAAATGGACGTGAGAACTTTATAGTCGTGTTGACTACCTCACAGATGCTTATCGAAAAAGCGAACTTGATAGATTTCGTTTAAAATATTTTTTTTCTAATAATTTTATTTTGAGAACAAAAGATTTTTGTTGTAGTTCTTTCTTTCGTTATGTTTAATTTCATTCTAAGCAAAACTGTTTTTATGTTGATTTATCGTTAGGATGCTATTTAAGTATTATTATCAATACAATAATTTTCGACACCTATTTGTTGCTTTATCATTATAATTGATGAATAATGGATTCGATGTTATTGTGATATAACATAAGCTCACGGTTAAAAATTTTAAAATAGTAAAACCGATTTTTTTATGAGAAGTAACTAATTGTTAAAGTAACGAATACATACGGGTACTCTTTTTTTCGTTACTTTTACACCTCTACATATAATAAGAAGGAACTGTATCACAGTTTTAATGTTAGTAGGTACCTCGTATAGGATCAGATACTGCGAATACTCCATTTTTTTTCTTTTACATAGTACACCGCGCTATAACTTTGTCATCATTGTAACTTTTTAAATATTTGTCGAAATGACATAGTGTAAAAAGCAAAGTTTATCGTCTTTAAATATCAAAAGCGATTAAAGTATTTGTTTTGATAAAAAATGATTTGTTAATACAAAATGTGCATTTTGGAAATAGATATCAAATAATATTTTAGTTTTGATTCACTATTTTAGCGGACTTTTTTTAGACCTATTTGAGAGATACATTTTCACTCTACATTACATTCATGTAACTTTTATTGTTTTTGCAGTGCAGGCCAAAATGGCTCGCAGATGGGACATTTTTTCCCGTCTTATGTGACACTTATTGCTATATATTGGCCAATTCACTCAATAATTACATAGATTATATATATGTAATTATCATATATGAGCTATATTACTGTTGTTTCATTAAATTCCATTCAGTATTTTTTAGGTGAAAGAGTAACAAAGATCCATACAAACGTAAGATTGAAATTAAAAGCACAAGTGGTTAATATACAACTTTAAAACGTTGTAGATCCTAAACAATCATATAAAATGAAAAATGGTGTTAGAAACCTACATATGATTTTTGATTATCTAGGCAGTGATATCCCACTCGACATATTTTGTCAACTTAGTTTTTTTACTTCGTCACAATATGGCGCCTAATTTTGCCCATATTGAATTTTGATTACTATCATATCTTTAGTAGCACTCCCATGATTGAGACGAATCGATTGATGTATGAATCATCAAAATCGGTCCAGGCGTTTGGTCTCTAGTGTGCCACAAAGGAACAAACATACATATATATAGACTGTTAAACACATAACCCTGTCTGCGCGTCGCGCTTCGCGTTCTTGCATTGCCCAGCCGGGTAATGAAGCCTGGATGTACAGTAAAACTCGAATAATGAGAGGAAAATCAGCCTGATTTTTAATTATTTTGCGGCCGTCATCCGGGTAACGGATAGAATACAAATATGGGTTGCCTGGAATAAGTTGCTTTTAGGCAATAAGGCCGCCCATTGTGTAATGTCTTTCTGTCAGTGTAATCTTACTGTTATGTCTTTTGTGGTGTTATACAATAAAGAATATTATTATTTATGACACTTAAAAATAGTCGCAGCACGCTATGAAGGCCGTTTATGACACATTGTAATAGATACGAGAAAAGTCAATTTGTTAAAAATATCGAATTTATTCAAATGTGAATAGTAACGTCTAGGTATTAATTTTTTTGAAACTTTAACCAAGATTATAAAGATTAAATAAAACGAAAACATAATGCTTAATTTTGAATATCGAAAAACACATTTGGTGAGTTATGTGGCGAATACTTACCCTCACTTCTTATATTTTTATTTGTATGATACAACAGTTCTTAATGATAATAACAATTAAATAATTTAATTTACTTAGTCCTTTAAAGATTCTGTCAAATGGCCTGTGTTTTTATGTTAAAAATGATATTATATTTAATTGTTTTAAACCGGAAAAGGTTCTCGGAATCATAAGTCGAACCTGGCTTTCTTATAGAGGTTTCTCACTAAAGCAGTTTGTCACTTACGAAGGTTTGAGTGTAGTTACTCTCATTTATAGAGGTTAACAAAAGTCGAGAAACATGGTGTTAGAGCGAATGAATTTTCTAATGATTGTTGTCAACTGGAACCAAATGTTGAAGATATCAGGTAGGGACAAGCCACATGTGCGCTGCAGCCGTTTGTAATTCCATCGATAACAATGACGCTTTGGCTTTCTTTGTTTACCAACAAGGATATGGTTTGGCTTTAAGTACCTACAGTTGCGAGTTTTGAGATGTGTATTGAAATATTATTGTAAATAGTCTCGCATATGGAAGTCTAACGGAAAAAACTGTGACTTACATTAATCTCTCTAAAAGAGGTTCCTACACTGTCACTCATAGAGAGGTATTCGAAATAAAAATGACGGGACCTGACCATTATTGTCGCTAGATAGAGTTAGTATAGAGTTTTCTTACTTATCCAGTTTTCGCTTATCCAGGTTCGACTGTATACAGGACGTCCCACGGCTACCTCACACGGAGGGAAAGTATATTAAATATTGAAGATATGATAATTTACTGAAAGAACATATCGTTTTATTTTTAATAATAATAAGAACTGCATTCACCGTTTTTTTTAAAATCGCCTGCTACAACTGAGAATCAAACTCGTGAAATTTCGAAAAAAAACACGACATGTTTTAAGATAACCATAGAAAAGGTTTATCATAAGGATTATTTTTTGCTAAATAACATAGCATTTTAAATGAAAGGAATGTCTTATTTCGTGATAAAAATAATAAAGTGATATACAGACAGTACGTCATCATTATGTATAATTTTGAACTATTTATTAAAATTTACACTTTAATTACTCGAAAAACGTAAGACTTCATGTTATATTGATAAACAAAAAAATTGACAAAAAAATCGGATTCTAGTTTTTTTCATTATTAATTTGCAGTTTCTGAGAACATTTACCATAGTAGTGTATATTTTTTTTATACCATCAGAAAGTAGAGTTTTCAACAAACAAAAACACACCACCTTTTTTAAAAAAGCAGATATTTTGACGTGAGAATTTTCGATTGAAAATTAAGGTGCTTTTGCGATATTAAGTCAAAATAAGGTGAAAAAATCAGAATGTTCCAACTGGGATGAAAATCTCGAGAATTCCAACTCCGCGCGTATGAATTCAGCTTTATAATTCATACTAATTCTAATTCATTATCGATCACGTCTTCCGTTGCATCATTTTCCACAAGGTGATCTATTATAGAAATATAAAAAACCCCGATTTGAGACATATAATCTTTTATTAGTCTATAACTTACTTCTGCTTCGTCCCGTTTTTTTTTGTCCATTTTTATTTACGTTCTTTGTGAATATCATTTATAACGAACTTCTTCTTTTGATCGCGCTTTCCACTTTTTATGGTTCCGTAATCCTGAGAAGGAACCCTTATAATTTCATCATGTCCGTCTGTCCGTCCCCGATTTTGATTGGAGACTATTAGCACTAGAGAGCTGTAATTTGTGGAGATATACCAGGCCACTCAGAAAGTTTTGCGAAAATAAGTTTTTATGCCTAAGACACTGGCCACTTGTAATTATTTTGAAAACTTCGATTATTTAAAAGTAAAAATACCACTGTTCGACTTAAAAATTTCCGTAAGTATTAATTTTATGAATGTTGGAGCAAGTGGCCCTTACTTAGTAACGTTAGAATAATTTATTTCAGCTTAATTTGTTCAAAAAAGAGTTAAAAAGAATTTATTTTCTTTTCAGCAATCGTCAGAGAAAATACCGGGAGCATTATCAATGCAGACGATTCAGGTTCTATCCAAGGTCAAAGGTAATAACTGTGATAACAAATTATAAATAATATATTTAAATATTAGTAATTGTAAATTATTTTAGTTTAAGTATATATACAGCAGTTTCACCTGCCACACAAGCCATCCTCACTTTGCGGGCCTGCACATTGCTTCTTCACGCCTCTTTATAGGATCCGTTATAGCAGTGCGAGACCACGTGAGCGGGCAAAAAAATCCATTCGCGGAGAGTGCGACAAAGAAGTAAGTCTCCAAATTTCTTTTTTCACGTTTAAATAGTGGCCAGGCCACAGTAAATTGGTGATACCGTAGGCCAGCGCGCGTGGTCCTCTGAAGGAAAGGGGAAGGTGAGAGATGATAAAACGCACTTAATGATGCTACAGCACGGCGTATTGAAGAGGCTCGAGGTGTTTTGTCACCTCCTCATCACCAGTGTTGCGGATCGCGATACGATTCCATAGTGAGTTTTTTTTATATGTATTATAGGTGACATACGAGCTGACGGCTCATCTGATGGTAAGTGATCACCATCGCCCATAGACACCTGCAATACCAGGAGTTTCATAAATGCGATGCCGGCCTCTAAGGGAAGTACGCTAATTTTTTAGAGGTAGGCATATTGGTCCGAAAACACTGCTGGTTACAATGTATTCCACAGATTTGTCGTACCGAGTAAACAATTTCGACAAAATCGCAAGGTTCTAGATAGCCACGCATCAAAATGGTGGAAATGAAATTTATGTCGCGATGAACTCTGAAGAATACCGATACTAGCTGAGCCAGTAAGGGGGATGTTCTCAAAAAAGGGGATACGATAAATGGTAATTTTTTAGCCGTAATCGCGCAAACCTGTGTCTTCGTGGGATTAAATCGGACTAGATAAAGTCGTCCCTAATTTGATACTTTGCTGAACAAAGTCTCAACTTACGACACAAGTTTGTTCCGGCTCTCCATTACGTTTTCCTGTAAATTATTTGCGCGGCTGGTATATAAAGCATCACCTGTGCTTCAGACTGCATAACAATGAATGCCATTAATTTAAAGCATATCATTCATATGCTGAAGAAACAGCGTAGGTGATAGCACACAGCCTTGCGGGTGTCCCACCCGCGTTTCCGGATTTCGTGTCCGAGCATGCACCGTCTACAGCGACCTTGATGCTCCTATCCGAGTTACGATTCCTTAGCGTGTTGTCGTGGAGACGCAGTGATTCCGTAGCAAGTCGCATTGACACGCTGATGGTTTTTTTTTCTCGCTCGTGCAGGTGCACATTACTGTTTTATAATGCTCTTCAAAAAAATAAAGTAAATAAAAATCAGCCCACATTTTTTACTTGGTAGGTTATCAAGGCTCACCTGACTGGTTTCAGGTCCAATAACGATGGGAGTACTAATGATGGTGTAGAAATGACTCGGCTATCGTGTGAAAGCAGGGAAGGAGAAATGCGCGCGAGCAGCGCCCCGCCGGCGGCCGCTCCCACCCCGCCGGTGGCCGCCCCCACCCCACCGCTCTCCCCACGGCTGGTAGTCACCCACTGCACGTTTACAACCCCCCAGTCTTCAGACACCTGCATACTCATAGAAGAATCCACCTCTGATGCCACAGAAGTTACACCCGAAGTCTGAGAACAATTCGTCTCGGAAATCCGAGACCACACCGACTCTTGTTGATATTTTGTATCGATTATACAAATTTTTAATCACTCTTTACTATACCGTTCGTGGGCTATCACGGAAGGTCTTTTCGATGTGTTATCGAAAAAAACGACGACAATTATCTATTTTTTAGACCCAATGTTGTAAATTATTAGAGAGATGTAATAAGCATGTTTATAAAGTAGAATAAAATGTCTGATGGAGTTCGCTGAATTTTATACAGATACTTATTAAATTTTAGTTGATTTAGATGATGGTATATACCATACTATTTGGAGAGTACTAACTATTGTAGGAAACTGTAAGATATGTTAATACAATATCTGAGTGTTCCAAATCATAACATTAAAATTATCAGTTATTTAACTTCATAGGTATAGTAACTTCATGATTGCAGGATAGCGGAAAAAAATATTTCAGATGTGTTCTCTTTTAGAGATTAAGTACATGCAGCACATATTTTCAATGGCCTCTCTAGATATAATTGCCTACATAATCATTAAATTGGCCCCTTAAAGTTGGATTTTTATAAAAAATTTAGTGCTGCCGCTAAAATCAAATTAAATAATTCAGCCTACTAAAATGTCTTAACATGAGTTAACAGTCAGTTATTTTAATTGAATTTTTGGGTTTTATTTTCTTGTAAGCCCATTTCTAAATTAAAAAGACTGATAAAAGCGAATTTTGTAAAAAATACATATTTTTTTCATGTTTAATGTAAACCATTACACTATGATAATAAATTAAATCACTACTTCATCAATAAAATTAAAATCTCCAGGCTCAGTAGATGAATTGGATATATCATTTAAAACACATATAATTACAAAATAGAATCTGCTTAATATCGTCGCGCCAGGAGGAGTCAAATATATATCTAAAACTACAGATTCAATATTCTTAACTATTTAAAAGCTATCGAGCTAAAACATTCATTTGGTGGCTAGTAACGTTACAATACAAATAATATATTTTAGGGTGCAGGAACTACAATTTCTTTAAAAACTTTATAGCATCAAGAATCTGAAATAATAATTATACTTAGAAATATATATATTATTTAAACATTACGTAAAACAAAACACTGGGAAAAAGCAACTGTTATTTATTTATTATTTTGGTTGTTTTCTGTTATTTTGAATAAAGTTGTGTTGGACTCACTAAACAAAAGCGAAACTATTCCCAAGAGAATTCTTGGATCCTCAGAGATCATGGTTGGGGGAATAAGCAATAACAAATACATAGTGAATTAACATGTAGTCTTATTAGATATTTAATGAATTCATAAGCAGATAATACAATCAAACATTATGTATTATATAAATGAACAGTGTCAGTCACAACAGTGTGTTTGTCAAGGTCTAGCAGGAAACTCCTTATTAGTATTCCATCTTAAAAATACGTTGTTTCTTAAAATATGGTCATGTATCATTAATAATATTATAATATTTACAACCGTACAAAGGACAGTCTTTCTTAACTAATTAAAAAAATGTGATATATTAAAGAGCGACGAAATGAGAGTGTAAATCGAATGAATATAATGTAAACTGTTGCACATTTTGATGAGAGGTGTTTAAAATATAGCTAGAATAAGTGTTTTGTAAGCGAATACTTAAATGTCACATTGTAATAATTTAAGTGTAGAATTAAGTAGATTGTTTGTGACAATACCCGTTCCCCCATTTCTTCAATAAATTCTGAATACAGAACTAAAATAAAAAAAAAATGGCAATGTAACACAAAGAAACTTTACTGAAGACAAATTAGTAGCCAGCACGTAAAATACATTTTGAGCGTCATAGCACACATATAAACTGCGAAAGGCATCGATACCGCCTCGCCTTATGACTTGCCGTAAAACAGGCGTTCACCTAACGTAAGGGTGCGGCCAGAGTGCACTCAGATTCAGACTCAGATTCAGATTTCGAAAACAAGCGCGAGAAATAAACAGTGTAGTCGAAGGGTACGGCCAGATTGCACTCCTGATTCAGATTCAGATTCAGACTCAGAAAACAAAGCGCGAGAAAAAGCAGGCAACCTGCTTAGACTACACTGTTTATTTCTCGCGCTTGTTTTCAGAATCTGAATCTGACTCTGAATCTGAGTGCACTCTGGCCGCACCCTAAGAATGTAACGTAAGCGGATAAGCAGCTCCAGTATGTTTAGATCTGCTACGGCCTACGGCTAGGCGACGCTCACGGCTCACCGACCGCTGGTTGACGGATAGGTAGCACCAGTTCAACCTAAACTAAATGACTAAACTTATTAAGAGACGTTCGCCACTACACAATTACAATTTAAATTTACAATTGATTAAACCTTAGATCAAAGGAATTTATAAAACTTGTGTGTCTAAACAGTGGAATTCAGATCATAAATTGATATACGAGACGTACGCTAGGCTACGGAGAGACGTACGCTAGGCTACGGAGAGACGTAAGCTGGCTACGGAGAGTTGATCACGCGCGTTGCGAGCTTATCTCGAGGCAAGGCGATTACAGTAGGATTCCGATTCGTATACGTTGCAATAGGGAGTTTAATACAAAGAATACTGAACAGCTCGAGTTGATATGGTAACGATCGCTTTCTGAGTTCATATGCCTGGTAACACTTAACTTTCATTAATTAAAAAAAACCGAATGTAAAGAAGAACCTAGCTAAGTTATTCCCCAAATCAGTATTGTTCATTGATTAAGGATGACAATACACGAAATATGAAAATATCTTTGTTCCGTCATTTTTGGGTAATTTTCCTATTGTTTACGTTTGTAAGCCTAGGGTATATTTTAGAGCCAAATTTTTCGGACTCATTTGGTCGACTATAAAATGAGATACATTGTCTCTGCCATTGTGAAATACAAAACGATGCTTTACAATATCGGAATTGAAAATCTTCTTTTACACCCACTGTTGATTAATAACTTTGAATACATGATGTTTTTAAAGTCTGAGTTGAATAACCGACAATCATGCTTAAAAAACAAATCTTCACCAAAGGATCATTAAACAAACGCTAACAAGAAACTTATTTTTAACCGATTTCAAAAAAGTAGGAGATTCTGTTTAACCGCTACGCTCCACGTAGCGAGACCAAACATTTATCTATGTTTTTAACATAACTACATTATGCATGAAGGTGGAAAATGCTGACGTTATGTTATTCCCTTCTTTAAAAAAACAAGAGTTTATATTTCGAATAACATAATGCAAACTAATCAAAAAATAATGAAAGTAAGGAGCAGAATGATTTTGAAGTGAGGTTTCCGAAAAATAATAATTATTATTTGTTAGGTAAAGACAAATAATAATTATTACTTTTCGTATCAAGTAAATTAAAAAGTAGCTAATCTTCACGTGATTTTGAGAAAATATTTTGGTACTAATAATTTAAGAATCGGCATTAATTATGCGATAATGTATAATTATATTAGTAATGTCAATGTAATTCGGTCATTTTTATAATGACTAAATTCATTTAAACCTGACTGATCCGCCAATTCGTATTGAACATATTTATACACACTTGATGTAGATATTATACAACGTTCTTGGAAAGTAGAATATTACCTAATATTACCGTGATGTATAAATTAACTTATTAACTGTGTACTTAATCCAAATGGTTGTTGTGATGTCTATTAAATTTGTTAATTATTTATTTTTTTTATTGTCTAACTAACCCCTTTAAATAAGACACCGTTAGTTGACACCGTTAATTTACACCGAGAGGTCCACGTGGAGCACACATTTTAAAATGAAACTTCATACCTTTATATTTATTTAACTACATTCAGGTCGAAGTATCAGGGTAGTTCTTTAAGGACCCAATTGTTGGCGGTCACACACATGTTATTACTAACTTGTTGTAAATATAGTCTTCGAATCAATACCAAATTATTCTTTATATCTATTTACAAATATTATAATAAAAAACCGACCAAGTGCGAGTCGGACTCGCGTACCGAGGATTCCGTTCAAACTCAATTTCATACCTCTACGCGTTCATGAGAAAAGAGGTACCTAGTAACTTTAAAATTTTCAAAAAAAAAATATTATATGATGTAGTTAATTTACGGTTTTCCCAATTTTTCCTTTATCTGTACTATAAGACGTTACTTCGTACCAAATTTCAAGATTCTAAATTCACGGGAAGTTCCCTGTAGGTTTTGATTCCCGTGCGAGTTTCGAAAATTTGCGGAAATTTGCGGCATAAACGACTGTATCTTTTGATTGCTTTGGCTTAGAAGTTTGATTTTCTCACAGCTCCAAGGGACAGTAGACGTGAGTAGTAGATATGAATTACAGTTTGGTACCTCCACGCGTTCCTGAGAAAAACGGTCTTGACAGACGGACGGACGGAAAACAAAGTGATTCTATAAGGGTTCCGTTTTTCCTTTTGAGGTACGGAACCCTAAAAATTAGTTATATTTATTATATTGAATTATTTAAAGGTCAGAATCGGGATTAAAGACGATGATTTTCGGTAGTCAAACTCTTTACACACTTGCAAATACCTTTTATAACTTCTTGGTCTGACAAACTTTACTAATGTTTTGTATTTTAAAACAATGGTATTTATCCAATGTTTAATAATGCCAAAAATAAAAAAATGTGGGGTAATTTAAAAAGTTAGAATTCATATTGTCATTGTCACACGTTTTAGCAAATTTGTCGAGTCTCCAACGGCGGACATCATTGAATAGTGCCAAAATGTAGAAACATGTTTAGGCCGTGTGGACATTCAGAAAGACGAACGTGCTGCTTTTTGCTGTGCTACAAATAAACTATCTGTAAGTTATTTTTTTTTTAATTAAAAACCAAAAAAGAAGCAAGAACTTTCATGGTCCGTTCTACAAAGTAGTATTAATAAGTAATTCGGAATTCACGACATAAAGTATGTCGAGATTGTTTATATGTAAATTGTGTTTGGATAAGTCTATGAACACGACAAATATATATATATATATATATATATATATATATTCATGGTATAAAGCCTCGATGACACTGGGCGAGTTACAAGCTACAAGCCAGCGAGTTTACTAGCACCTGTAAAAAATTGAACATCTAAAATAACGTAAAAAAAAGATACGGCCGTATTATGCGTACCTACGAATTGGTACGGAACCCACGGTGGGTTTTATTAATTAAAAAATATGTTGTTCCATAAAATTGGGAATGTAATAGAAATTACACCACAATTATTCAATAAACACGAAAGTCGCAGGAACCCGCTAGTGATAAATACTGAGCAATCCCTGATTAACACTAAAAGATAGGCGGTGGAAAACATTGTACGGTTTCATATAATCGTAAGTAACATAGCCGCTGGCTGCGATTTTATAACAAAGCCGTTCTTTTATCACAAATCTGCGCACAAGTATATGTTTCGTAATCCTATCAAAGGTGTCCAGCTGGATAATCTGCGGAATCCCGTTAGGGTGCGAATGATATAAAACAGGGTGGTTTGATGCGATTGCCGGCAGTCAGTCAGTCGGGTGGGCTGTAGCCGCTACCGAGGACTGCTCACGACCTGGCCCATCACTGAGCATAATGGAGAACCGGACCGATGGCTATTACTATGGCGCCCACTTCGCACCTCTCAGGTAAACATTGTTAGCCTACTTGTTTGTTACAATTATTTTTATACGAAGCGTAATAAATTTAACGTCGATATTTAAAGAAAGGGAATGTAGCTGCTGATGCGAACAAACTGTGTGTCGCACCAGTCATCCTCACCTTGCCGGGCCGAACCTGATTTCCTACGACTGGAATGTATCACCCGCCATTGCTGCACGGCTGGCACGCGCACTCGTCGATGTCTGTCTCGCACGTAGGGGCAGGAGCAGGCGGGACATGTATACATACGTATGGATTGAGGAGACTCCTGATTTTAAAACTTATCTCTCACCTCCGTTTAGTAACAAATGAAGCTGATTATGTAGGGTAAATTCTGGATATTGTTGTAAAATACATGAAAACCCTTATCTAGCAAAAAAAACAATGTAATTTAAAATTATAAATTAACATTTTATTTTAGCACCATAATAGTGATTCAGTAATAGTTAACATATTTTCTGCACATTTAAATTTATTTATCGATTAACATATTTAAATAACGAGCTCGATGCGCATGGAGCAATATTTAAAGAATTCAGTCAGTGGCTATGGAAATTAAGCAACTTTAGCAATGGCCGGTCATAGAATGGGTGACCAAAAAATTATCACCTTGAGTTCCTTCTTTCTTCTAAGCTGGCTATGTCATTTGATTACACATTGACAGGTATTGTTATTTGCATAGTTATCAATTTCTATGGTTATTTGTTAACCCAATGGGAGGATGCTTGATAACTACGTGCGATGTGGACTGTATGATGTGGTAGACTTGGTATATGATGAAAACCCGGTGTTCTCAAGTTCACAGTTTATTCGCAACTTGCTCTGACATAAGTGACATCAAAATACACGTCATATGAAAGAATATAAAATACAAAGATAAAGTTCTATAAAAGAGATCGGCCAACACCAGCCAGTCGCCAACATTCCCACCCCCAGTGGAACACTAAGACCCGGTGGCGGCTGACTGGCGCTCCGCTTCCATCAGCAGGAGCTTCCTGACGGGTCGACGTAGTGTACCGGCTTTTGTGAAAATATCCACTACGCGAACCCGTCCGTCAAGTCCTGTGAATACCTTCGTGACTCTACCCAGTGGCCACAGACCTCGTGGTAGGGTAGAGTCTGCGATGAGCACCACGTCCCCCTCCTTCAAATTAGGCATGCTGCTGCGTGGTCCCCTTTTGCGCAGCGTTGAAAGGTATTCCCGCAGCCACCTCTCCCAAAAGTGGTCAGCCAGTCGCAGTGCTTTCCTCCAGTCTGATCGCCGAAGTAGGTCCGCATCGGTAAGGTCCGCTGGCCAGGGTGACGTAGAGGAAGTTCCCAATAAAAAGTGAAACGGTGTTAGCGCTTCCGGTGCATCCGCTGAGGAGGAGACGTAAGTTAGCGACTAGCGGCGGAGTTAACTCTGGCCTCGGCTTCCAATAGTAACGTCGCAAAAACCTCTTCCTTTAGGTGCGGCCTGTCCTTGAGGCACGACTGCATAGCGTTCTTGACGCAGCGCACCAGCCGCTCCCAGACGCCGCCCATGAATGGAGAAGCCGGAGGAATAAAACGCCATTCAATCCCTTCGTTGGTCGCGAAGTCCTCTATAGAACTGTCGTAAAGTGTTCTTAAAATGCGATCTGCTCCCACGAAGTTCGTGCCGTTGTCGGAGAAAATCGTCGACGGCGACCCGCGACGTGCTATGAATCGTCTTAGGCTCATTAGGGCGGCGTCTGATGATAATGAGTACACGATCTCCAAATGTTTTGTAGCATCGTCAGCGACGTTGAGAGAAGTGGGGAGCCATCTCCAGTCGGACGGGTTAGTAGTTTCCGCCAACTCTCCCAGCCTATGGGCCACAAAAGGTTTGAAATTACGCGCGTCACTTCGAATCCATTTTAAAACGGTGGACGAATCCGTCCAGAAGATTGTGTCCGTTGGTTTAATGTAATGCGCGTCTACAATAGTACTCGCGAAGCGAGCAGCTATAAGCGCCGCCTGAAGCTCTAAACGAGGGATTGAGAGGGGCTTCAACGGAGCGACGCGTGCTTTGCTCCCTATCAAGCTCACGGAGACGGATCCGTCGCTATACGTCACCCTCCAATAAGCTACACACGAGTATGCTTGTTCACCCCCGTCGGCAAATACGTGTAGTTGGGCATTGGTGAAGTCGTTTCTATGCATATACCACCGTGGGACTCGTATTGCGGCAGTAACCTGTAACTGCTGAAACCAGTCTCTAAACTCTATTTTATATTTCTCTGGTAGAGGCGAGTCCCAGTCAATACCCTCCCGCCAAAGTCTTTGTATTAAAATTCGTCCCCATATCGTAACGGGCATGAGTAAACCGAGCGGGTCGAAAACTTTCATGACGCTTGACAGTACTCTGCGCTTCGTAACTTTGTCGAATGGGGACATGGAAAAAAAACGAAAACTTAACCTATCGTGGAAGGGGTTCCATAGAACTCCTAAAACTCCTATTTCCTTATTAGAAGGTAAAACGACTTCTGTGTCGGAACCAGGGTCATTTTTCAACCCCTGGGGGATCTTAGAAAGAGCTTCGAGGTCGTTCGATATCCAGAAACGCATTACAAAACCACCGTGCCTATGGATCTTTACAATGTCAGCCGCTACGCTCGCAGCTTCAGTGACGCTTGAGAAACTTCCCAGGTAATCGTCCATATAATGGTCATATATAACAGTCTTACAAGCGGATGGGTATAAAGACTCCAGCTCCTTCGCGTTTTTGTTTTTCAAGTATTGAGCCATAAAGGGGCTGGAGGCAGCACCGAAAATCATGGATGCCATACGATATTCGCAAATGGAGCCATTTTCGTCTCTCCACAAAAAACGTTGGGCGTCTCTGTCCTTGGGGGCGATTCGGACCTGAGGAAACATTTCTTTGATGTCTGCGCTAAGTGCCACGGGACCTTCCCTAAAACGAAACAAAATGCCGAGCAACGGCTGAAGAAGATCTGGGCCTTGGAGCAGAAGACTATTAAGGCTCACCCCTTGAGTACTCGCTGCCGCGTCGTGAACTGCTCTTAGTTTTCGTTTTTGAGGATGATAGACACCGAATATGGGGAGATACCAACGAATGGGGCCGCTTGAACCGACAACAGAATCACTAACTGGGATACGACTGTGGAAAGTAGTGGGGTCACATTTTTCAGCGTAGCCCTTACTTATTATGTCGTTTATAAAAAACTGAAACGCCGAGGCGAAGTTCGGGTCGCGAGTCATCTGTCGCTCCAAAGCTTTGAAACGGGATAACGCCTGCGAGTAACTGTCGGGAATTACCAGAGGTAAGTCTTACGCCATGGCAAACCTACTTCAAAACGACCATCCTCAAGCCTGCGGACCGAAGATTCGATCATGTCTACGGCGCACCTATCTTGTTCGTTGGGCTGTTGGTCACGTTTATTAATCCCGATAGAGTCGATTTCGAATTGTGACCTAATAACTGACTGTTTAGGTCATCGTTCATATGATTAACAAATAAAAGTGGTTTCGATGAAACCGAATAAGCGCCATGAAGTACCCACCCTAACAAAGTTTTTGAGGCAACCGGTTCATTTTTCTTCCCTACTCTCACCTCGCGGCTTAAGGATAGATTCCAATCCGCGGCGCCTATTAGAATGGTTGGAGCAGATTGGTCGGTAGCGTTGCCAACCGAAAGCTAATCGGCAATGTCAGCTAAATGTTCGTAACGAGACAAGTTTACGTCAGGAAGGCTCTGCACTCGCAAACCAAGTGGAGTGATAGAGCGCGCGTTCTCAATTAGATATTTGTTGCTTGTGTTACGTCCTCTAATATAGAAGTTTACGTAGTTCACGTCAACTGTCATGATCATGCCGCCTACACCCTCAATACGGACACTTTCCTTATTTCGACGTTCGGCGCCAATGCGCGTCGCCACCTCGCCATCGATCAGCGTCGCCGTGCTGCCTTCGTCAAGCAGCGCCGTAGTTTCGTACTCGCCGTCTGGACCCTTGACGACAACTGGGAGGATCTTCAACAAACCACGAGGACGGGACTGCCACTGGGACGAACCTATAGTAGAGACGGCAATGTTAGTCATGATCGAAGCGACACCGTTCGTATCGTCGCCGATCGCATTTGCGATCGTTGGGTGTAAGTTCGTATTCGTTGTTGAAATGGGTGTTGGTGTTCCATGAAGTAGGTGATGATGACGTCGTAAGCAACCACTTAGTCCACAACGTTTTGCGCGGCAGTTTCTCCACCTGTGGGAATCAGATTTTAGGCAGCGAAAACATGTCTTGGATTCCCGAACCCACTGCCACCTTTTCTCCACAGATAACTCTAAAAACCCCTAACAAGTTTTTATGTCGTGTGGAGGGTCCACACGCTTGCAATAGTTGCACTTCAACTCACCTTTGTTAGAAAAAGTCACATGTACCGATTCCCTTTTCAACGGTTTACTCGAAATGCCTATGGGAAATTGGTCGTAAAAATAATTAAATTTTAATTGTTGGTCTGCCTCAACCAGCAGAAAACGAGACAGTAACTCAAATTTCGACATGTTTTCGTTGCTAGGCGAATGTGAAGCGGTAAAATCGGTGAAGTGAGCCCTAGTATGTTCATTGAGCTTCAGGGCCACAGAGCGAAAAAGCTCTGGTGAGTGTAGGTGATCGGTTTGATTCAATTGTTTGTCGGTCACAATGAAATTACGAACTTCATTAGACATAGTGTTAAGGTCGTGTGGAGTATTAATCTTAGCGATACTGTGGAGATCCGCGAGCTCGCGGGCTACCAGGAGCTCGGGCCGGGCGAAGTTTTATTCTAGGGCGCGCATAACATCTTCAGGCTCGCACACTGTCCACAGAAGGGACGCCACGGACTGGTACGCTGCTCCACGAATCGCTTGATTAAGACGTTCTAAATTTTCTGTGGGTGAAAATAAACCTTTAGTACGTTCAAAGCTTGACTTAAAAGCCATCCATTGGCTAACTTCGCCAGAGAAGACCATTAGGTCTGGTCTCTTGGG